TTAAATAGGAAATTGTTTCGTTTTTATTCTGTACCTTTTTTACTCTTTTGCAGGCTGATTATTTTATATAGTCACGTAAAAACATTATTCATTAAGAATTGATCGCAATTCAGACACCATTTACAGTGGACAAGCTGACATTGCAGAGATAAACGTGTTTGTTTTTAATTAAAAAATTAATTCATCAGCCACTTTTAATATTAACTATTGGCAGTATACAATTGTACCAGAGTTGTCTGCTGATTTTTATCAAAGCGAAGGAGTAATATGTAAATGTTGTTAAATTCAAAGCAACATTCTGTGCACAGCAGGTAATGCAGAAAAAAGTGTTTTCAAGGTTGACCGTTTTAGGAGTTTCAAAACAACTTGGCTGAAGTGACTGGAGTTTATAAAGTTCAGTTTTAGGCCATAAAGAAGGAATGCATCATTCTGATAATTCTAATGTAAAAGTCAAACTCAAGCAACACCGACTACTTTGACAACCTTGACTACCTCGACTTAGACTCGTTAAACAGCCCCTCAGCTAATATTAGTCATAGCTCAGTAACTTTTAACTAAACAAGTAAAAGTCCATTCTCAAGTTCAGGCTAACTTTTACAAGCCAAATAGTCAACGGTGATAAACTTCATCTTTGTTCTTTCTCCAGCCTGTATTTGTACACCAACGGACATCAATTTCAGAGCACTGAAACTTGAAAACTTTTCTGAAGAAAGGAAACTTTTTTTGGGCAATTTATTTTGGCAATAATCAAATTTTTTTTAATATAACAAAATGCTGAACAAATCATTAGCAAACTACTTTGAACATTTGAACCCTCACATGATTTTCAAGCTCATTGATACTACAACAGCCAAGTGATCATCAGCAGTTGATGTACCCGATTGCTCGACTTGCCTTTCCACTAAGTAAGGTGCACTTGATAAGGTGTCTACTGCACTTTGCTATGGTAATGCAGAAAAAGAAAGAGCGCAGTGTTCTCAGGAACAAACTCACAGTCGCAGCACTACCTCTACCTCTACCACCTCACCGCTAACACATCTGCCAACAACAACATCTGTCTTGGCAGCAGCAACAGCAGTAGAAGCAACATCAGCAGCTTCTTTTGCAACACCTCAGTTTAGCAGCAGCAAAACTGCTCAAGTTACCAAACAACTTGAAAGTTGTCACCCTGCCGGCATTCAGTCTTCATGTCCCTTCTCAGGTACGAGGTGTTCTTTTTTCAAAGTAAAAAAACTTTTTTTGACACAAAAGTGTTCAATTCAGTACTTTTCCTGTTTGAGCTGAACTTTGACATTGAAAAAAAGAAATGGGACGCAAACGTGGAACCCCTACGATTTGCAGTGTTTGTGGCGATAAATCGACGGGAATAAATTTCAATGCCAGCTCCTGTAACTCTTGTAAGTTTTGCTTTTGCTTTTATTGACAAAAGTTTATCATTTTTGTCCATTTTCTTCAAGGCAAAGCCTTTTTCCGGCGAACCGCTCCGCAGAACAAGGTCACGCCCTGCCCCTTCACCGGAAACTGCCTGATTAATAAAGTGACTCGTAAGTTTTGCAGTGCATGTCGCTTGGCCCAGTGCTTTCGAGTGGGGATGAAAAAGGAGTGGATATACACTGAAGAAGAACGGGCCTTCCTCAAGGAACGCATTGAGCTGAACAAGCGAAAGCGGCGGCAGTGCAACCGAAACGGAGCAGAGAACCAGGAAGCTGTTGAACCACCTCAAATGTCCTCCAGCAACTCTTCTTGTACAACAGCAACAGCCGATGCAGCGGTAGTAGATCTGCTGGATTTCAACTTTCAGAACATAGCCATTTCATCGGGTGTCAATGAAGGTGTAGTTCAATTTCAGTCAAACGAAGGCTACCCATTTAGCTGCAGTTCTGAAGCCGACTCCACGACGACGAGTAATAGTGCCAGCGATTCGGTGGACCTTTTTCTCCAGTCATTAATCACGGATAGTTCTACTTCATCAACCTTCAATGAACAACCGCCCCCTCCTCCTCTCAGTCCTCCACTTCAACTGGACGCCTCGCTGGAGAACGTTTGCGACCAAATTCTCCAGCAACCAGACGTCATGTCGCAGATTGACCTCAGTCAAATTGACTTTAGTGGTTTGGAGGAAGAGAATGAACCCAGCGAAAACTTTGTCGCATCTTTAATTGAACATAAAAAAGAGCCGGAAAACAACACTGGAAACCACTTTCTTCTGCTCGATTTTGAACCTCCCGTCTTCCAAGCGCTTTCCATTTACTACCCGAGCTTTCTCGGTCTTCCAACCGGCCACCAGTTGAGCACTTCTGAAGAATACCTTCTCCAGGAGCTCTCCACCGCCTGTCGCCTCCTCCAAAATCCCTACAAGCGGATACAGTACTTTGAAAGCCTTTCACCCCATTCCAGCACCCGCATCATCGAGTACACCTTCTATCGGATCAACCGCTGCTGCAAACAGATCTCCGCTTTCACCGCCCTTTCTCGAACTGTACAATCAAAGTTGCTGCAGTGCAGCCTTTTGAAGATCTTCTGCCTGAGGATGGTGTTGTACTTCAATGAGCGTCGAGCCGCCTGGAACCTCATTGATGACTTTAACCAGTCGGGAATGCTGGTCCGATTTGAGTACCTCATCCCTTCCTGTCCCAATGAGGAGCACATCAAGCGCCACCGGCGGCTGTCTTCGCTCTTTGATGAGGAGTGGAAGGAAGACCCGATCATCTTTGACCTTCTAACAGCGGTTCTTCTCTTTATGCCAGGCAGTAGTGATGGTGGTGATCAGATGATAAGGTACTTATAGATACCCTTTTAACTTTTTAATATACTAAAAAGCTGTTTTTTAGAAACGAACACAACCGCTACCTTCTTCTGTTGCAAAAGTACCTGACGATTAAGTACCCGAATGTGAACGAGGCCTCGGAAACTTTTAACCGATTGCTGGTGGCCGTCAATGAACTGCTGCAGCTGAATCCTGACATTGTCAACTTCTTCAGGCGGTACATGGCCAGGTACGGCGCCTATGTCAATCAGGAGTTCTACCGCCAGCTGACTGAAAGCTGTGGCAACAGTGCAGTTGTTGAAACGATTAGTGCGCCATTAGAAAACAACTTCAGAGATCAAATGGTGATCAGTGAGATGGACAACGGTGGACTGGACTCGATCTTTGACAGTTGTTGGATGTGACCAGTGTCGCATGATAAAAAGATTATCAGCGGAAGCTGCTGCTGTTCTATTTGTCCTTGTTCTTGAGTTTATCTTTAGTTTTGCTGTTTTTGTCATCAGATTGTCAGGTTGCCGTGCATTTGGTTTATTTCCACTAGAGTAAAGTTGACCTTTGATGAGTAAAAACAAACTAGTTCAAGGATTTTAAAATATGAGCAATAGTTTATATAAACTACTGGTTTTTGGGGTTTGACAACATTAAAACTTGTTTTTCTGCAATCAAAACATGCTTCAGTACTTTTGGCTTCCGTTTAGTTCACTGTTTGGTTACTGGTTGTACACTCGCTCAACTGCTAAAAAGCAAACTTCAACGTTGTATGGCGCTGAAACGGCGTTTAAGCGTTTTCTTCGCGACTCTTGCCCTACGCTGGAGAAGGAAGAGGAGGCCTATCAACCGAGCTTTTGGTGTCTGAACTCCTTCTTCATGTCCATCGTTCCGTACCTGCTGAAGATGAGAGATCCAAAGTGTAACTTTGAGAGGTAGGCTTGATAGTGTAAACAACAACAGCAAAAAGTAAACAACTTTTCTACTTACAGAGAAGTTCTGCTCACTCCTGACGGTGGCCAGATCTCTCTTGATTGGTACTGTCCAGAAACTTTAGAGGAAATCCCGGAGAAGAAAGATAACAAAACCGTCAAACCAGTGGCTCTCTTTCTGGCCGGACTAACCGGAGACTCACATTCAGAGAACCTTCGAGCGGTCATCCGAGCAGCTGCCAGGCTAGGCTACCGCTCTGTGGTGCTGAACAACCGCGGTCTGGGCAGAAATGAGCTACTGACGGAACGCCTCTTCAGCGCCCTCAGCGACGATGACCTGTCCGTTGCGGTGGAACACATCAGAAAGACATCAGAAAGTGAGCAGAGCCGAGGTTCAATGACCATTCTGGCAAGCGGCTACAGCCAGGGCGCAAACATTCTCACTCGATATTTGCGGCGCCAGGGAGTTAACTCCCAAATCGACGCCGCCTTTCTCCTTTCACCCTGTTTCGACTTTGTTGCCGCTGAACTGCAGCTGAGCAGCGGCTTCTGGCCACGCCTCTTCAACTTGCTACTGGTGAAGATGATCACCGGTACGGTGCTCAGATTTCACCAGTCTTTTTACAGAAAATCTACGACTAAAAACTATCACGTGGACGCCTGGCAGTGGTTCACCAGCCTGGAGCAGTTTGATGAGGCTTTCACGGCGCCTAATGCTGGCTTCTCGTGCGCTCATGATTACTACGTGGAGGCGAGTAATGTTGAGAAATTGAAAGAAATTGCCGTGCCCACACTGGCGCTCTGCGCCGCCGATGACTTGATTCAGCCGGTGCGAGATTTGCCCCTGGAGGAGGTGGCCCAGTGCACCGGTGGACTTCAGCTGTTGCTCACCACAACAGGTGGTGGTCATGTGGGCTTTCTTGAGGGCCCACCCTGGCGACCCCACTTTTATGCGGATCGACTTTTTGAGCAGTTTGCACGGGGAATTGCACAGTTGGAAGGCAGTCCCAAAGTGGCCTTTCAGTAACTTTTAATTACTGTCAGTTTTTAAATTTTAAAAGACTTTTGATTGACTTTTTTTATTTAGGCACAATGTTGTAAGCACGTAAACCAAATTTTCTCAACTCAAAACCTTTGAACGTGAGCTAACTTTTTTTAATAATTGTAGCACTTCAATTTAGTAATATCTTAATAGTTAATTAACGGTAGCGATAAACCTGTTAATTGTGTGAGATGATTTTGTAAAATGCCAAAACTTTTAAACACAAGTACAAAACTCAAAATTTTAATTTTTAAATTGCAGTTTTTTGTATAAACCAAAAATGAAGTTTAAACATCTCAATTTACTTCAACTTCTAGCGTGGTTGACTACTCTGGTCAACAATGCTACCACCTCTCCCTCCTCGTACTTTTACTCGCCAAACAATTACGTTGAAATGCGATCGCTCACTGAAGAAGATCAAAGCATTCCCTTTCACAATTTCACCACCTTACCAGAAGCCCTAGTTGGCGTTGAAAAGTACGCTCTGAGCTTTAACAGCAGTCTAAACTACCCTGCTCTACTTTTTGCATTCTCAATTAAAAAGAAAACCATCTTCAAGAAGGCCTGGGGCATGGCCGACATTGAAAACGGTCTTCAGGCTAATGTAAACAACACTTTTCGCATGCTGTCACTGAGCAAGTCCTTCACCGCTGCCGTCATCGGACAGTTGGTCGACCAGGGCAGGCTTAAATACGAGGACTCAGTGTACCAGTACGTCGATTCGGCGCACTTTTCTCGCAAATC